ACACCTTTTGATTCCCTTGTTATGCGTATGTCGGACATACACCTTTTTTATTCCCTTTTGTCGATTTTTTTTTTTTTTTTTTTTTTTTTTTTTGTTTTCTTCTTTCTTTCTTTCGAAACTTTTCTTAACTGGGGAGGGTGCTATCATCACAATATTGTGGTCTTCAGTAGTGAACCAACCGTGGACCTTTCTAAAAAAAATATTTGATGCAACTGTCTTTGATGTTGCAACGGAGGTGAGAATCAGTGTATAAAAATGGAAGAGGGTAAGATACACTGACGGAGAGGCTCAATAATGCAGATAGGAAAAATGATAAGGCACTGGCTTTATTGGATAATGATGTAGAACGTAAGTCCTAATTTCATCTCAAAAGGAGAGTAAGAAGTGATACAAAGCCGTGAGAGATCTCAAAGCAAGTTCTAGAAAGTCAAATCACATAAGATATAGCACACAGAAACAATTAAGAGTGTATGAAAATAGCATACACTAATGGAGGCTCAAAAGCTCACAGGGTGCAGAGTTTCTGGCAAGTAGTCATGTTTAATCAGAAAACATACGTATAGTATCAACCACCAAGGCAAAATATATCATGTTGAGCACAAAGCAAAGAATTTTGTGGACAAAAGTTGTGCATAAAAAGATATGGAAAATCCCTTTCTTTTTTTTTTTTTTTTTTTAATTTTTTATGAAGCTAGAAAAATGAAAAGAGAGAAACAAGGAGTAAAAAAAATGAAAACAAACAGAAGTTAAGACACACGACATATTCCTAAAGCCTTGCGAAGGGTTTCAAAACGATGAGTGTCTAAAGGCTTAGTAAACAAGTCTGCAAGTTGATGTTCAGTGGCAATGTATTCCAGCACTAAAACCTTATCTTCAACCAAAACACGAATAAAGTGATGACGAATGTCAATATGTTTGGTACGAGAATGTTGAACAGGATTTTTGGAAATGTTTATGGCACTAGTGTTGTCACAGAAAACAGAAAAGGAACTTTGATGAATGCCATAATCACGAAGCATTTGCTTCATCCAAAGCAATTGCGTACAACAACTACCAGCAGCAATATATTCCGCTTCGGCAGTGGATAAAGAAACACAGTTTTGTTTCTTACTATGCCAAGCAACGAGATTATTTCCAACATAGAAACAACCTCCAGAAGTACTTTTTCGGTCATCAACATTTCCTGCCCAATCGGCATCGGAAAATCCAGCAATTTCAGAATTGGTTTCAAAGGAATAATGAAGACCATAATCAATTGTACCACTCACATACCTGATGATTCTTTTGACAGTTTCCAGATGCGATTCTTTTGGATCAGCTTGATAACGTGCACAAGCACCAACGCTGAAAGAGATATCAGGCCTACTAGCAGTAAGATACAACAAGCTTCCAATCATGCTCCTGTAAAGTGTTTGATCAACACTTTTTCCATTTGGATCCTTGTGAAGTTTTGTGGTTGTTGCCATGGGATTTGAGACGGGTTTTGCTGAATGCAAGCCAAATTTTTTAACTAGTTCACTAGCATATTTTGTCTGAAAGACAAAAATACCATCTTCACTTTGTTTGACTTGTAATCCCAAGAAAAAATTTAGTTCTCCACACATGCTCATTTCGAATTCACTCTGCATGACCTCAGTAAATTCTTTTACAAGTGTGGCAGATGTGGACCCAAATACTATATCATCCACATATACTTGTGCTATCACCACGTCCTTCTTGATTCTTTTGACAAACAAAGTCTTGTCAACAGCTCCACGTGTATAACCTTTTCTTAACAAGTACGATGAGAGTTTGTCGTACCATGCTCTCGGAGCTTGTTTTAAACCGTACAAAGCTTTCTTCAATCGATACACATGATCAGGATGTTTTGGATCAACAAACCCCTTTGGTTGTTCCACGTATACTTCTTCTTGAAGTACTCCGTTTAAAAAGGCACTCTTGACATCCATTTGATATAATTTAAAACGCAGATGACATGCAAAAGCCAATAACAACCGAATGGACTCCAATCTCGCAACGGGTGCAAACGTCTCATCAAAATCCAAACCTTCTACCTGAGTGTATCCTTGAGCCACGAGACGAGCTTTATTTCTCGTGATGATGCCATGTTCATCAGTTTTGTTTCGAAACACCCACTTTGTTCCTATAACATTTGTTTCTTGGGGTCGGGGAACAAGATACCATACATCATTGCGAACAAATTGATTGAGTTCCTCTTGCATGGCCATAATCCAGTCATCATCTAAAAGAGCTTCCTTGGCATTTTTTGGCTCAATCTTTGATATGTAGCACGTGAAGTTTACTACAGCAGTAGTTTTGCTTCTTGTTAGTATGGTATCTTCCACGTTGCCAATAATGTCGGACTTGGAGTGATCTTTTTGCACTTGCTTGTGTCCTTTTCTCAACGATTTTGTTGAGTCAACATTTTGGTGCACTTCAACCTGAGTAGTGGATGGCTCATCGATTAATTTACTTTGAAGAAATTCTTCATCTGAAGCAGGTTGTTCAATACTTAAGGAGGAGTCATTCACAACAACATTAATGGACTCCATGACATTTTTAGTTCTTTTGTTGAACACTCTATATGCTCTACTAGTGAGAGAGTATCCTAGAAAAATTCCAATATCACTTCGTGAATCGAATTTTGCTAACATTTCTCTATCTCTATAAATGTAGCATATACTTCCAAACACTCTCAAATGCTTCACGTTTGGTTTCTTTCCTTTCCAAATCTCATATGGTGTGCACTTTGTACCAGGTCGAAGATAAACTCTATTTGCAGTATAGCAAGCGGTGCTGACTGCTTCAGCCCAAAAATGACTTGTCAAACGAGCGCTAGTCAGCATGACACGACTCATGTCAAGCAACACACGATTTTTCCGTTCAACAACTCCGTTTTGTTGAGGAGTGATTGGAGCAGAAAAATTATGAGCAATTCCTTTTTCATCACAAAACTCAGAAAATGATGTGTTTTCAAATTCAGTTCCGTGATCGGTTCTGAGTTTTATCACACGATCATTTGAAGCAACTCTATCATTTTGAATTCTATTCAACAAGCCACAAAATGCTTTGAACGCATCAGATTTCTCACGCAAGAATGCAACCCAAGTAAAACGTGAGAAATCATCCACCAAGACAAGAATATATTTCTTTCCCCCAATACTTTCGGTCTGTACCGGTCCAACTAAGTCCATGTGCATCAGCTCCAAAGGTCGTGAGGTTGAGATGTAGTTTGTTGACTTGTGTGAACTCTTTGTTTGCTTTCCCACTTGACATTCTCCACATATTCCAAGTTCTCCAGCCAACATTGGTAAACCTCTCACATATTCCTTCTTGGAAAGCTTGATCATATCCTTACAATTCATATGGCCTAATCTTTTGTGCCATAAATCCAGAACATCATCAGTTGCTTTGTTGCATATATTTGGCACATGTGATTCATTTGCATTCACACAATAACAATTGTCTTTAGACCTTTTTCCTTCAAAAATGTCTATCCCGCTAGCAACTTTCACACAACATTTCAATTTATTGAACAATACTTCAGCATCATCATCATCACAAATTTGACTGATGCTAATTAGGTTAGCTTTAAGTCCATCAACTAACATGACATCTTTTAAGCATGGAATTCCTAGAGTTTTGATTTCTCCTTTTCCAACAATCCTTGCTCTTTTTCCATCTCCGAAAGTGACTGCTCCATTTTTACAATCCTCAGTGAAAGATGTGAACCATCTTTTGTCTCCAGTCATGTGCCTTGAGCAACCACTGTCTAGATACCAAGTATCAGACTGACAAGATGAGAGAGCAGTGAATGCCACCAAGCATGTAAGATTGTCTTCCTCAGATGAAGGTGACACCTTATCCAATAGACAAATTTGAGTCTCTTTTCTTCTCCATACTTGCTTTAAGTTTGGAGTAAGGAAGTTTGGCATTATTTTTGAAATTCTATTCATTCCCTTTGGGTGAGCCACAAATCTCCCTTTGAGATTTGATTTTTCAGAAATCCAAGAAGTTTTAGTCCTATTTTCCTTTTGAAGCTTGTAACACCTAGGTCTGATATGTCCTATTTTTTCACAGAAGTGACAAATAGGAATAAAAGTTTTTGACCTAATGAACTTCTTTGGTCCAACAAAATTTCTTACGAAATTTGATTCTTTTGTAGTGATACACGAATTTCCAAAAGGTTCATCACTACTCACTTTCATGCTAGGTTCTTGTAACGCTTTAACAAACTTGGTAACGGAAGTGGACGAACTTCCAGTTATATCAAAACCTAGACCGCTTTTATCACCTGAAATCTTTCCATAGCTCAACATTTTGTCAATTTTGCTTGAGCCAATGCTAAACTCTTCAACTTTCTTCTTTATGTTACTTAATTCATTTTCAAGACCTTTGTTGTCTGATGCTAGCATATGTAACTTTTCCAACATTGACTCTCGTAGCTTTTCTGCATGTTCCATTTGAGATTGATGCTCGATTTCTGCTTCATTCTTCTCACTTTCAAGTTGCACGAGTTTATTTTTCAGTTCTTCATTTTCCTTCTTCACTTTCATGGTGATATCATACAGTGCAGTGTACTTTTGTAAGACTTCTACGGAATCAGGCTCTTCAACTTCCGAATCATCCGTCTCATATCCATCAAAAGTTCCAAAAAATGCAACCACTTCCTCATCATCTTCAGATGCCGTGTCTTTCTCTGAATCACTGTCACTCCACGTGGAAGTTAACGCCTTGTTCTTTTCATCCTTCAGCTTTTTAAGAGTATTGGCACATTCATGAGCATGATGTCCATACCCTTGACATTCAAAACACTTGTCTCTGTCATTTGAACTTTTCTTTTCACCAAGTTTGACAAACTTAGAAGAATTTCCATGAGACAAATCTCGAGAACGAGGAACTTTGGAATTTGAATCAAAATTATTTCGATTTTCACGTCCTCTGGAACTTCTAAGTTTCAAAAATTTTCTAGCTTGTTTGGTGAGAAGAGCAAATTCATCTTAAGTCAGGTTTTCAAATGAATCCTCATTCACTTTTTCATTATTGACTTTGAAGGCTACATTTTTTCCTTTCTTGACTTCAGTAAAGTCAGACTCATATGTTTGTAATGACCCAATCAATTGTTCCAACTTGTAGGTGTTTAAATCTTTCGATTCTTCTATAGCTGTCCTTTTCGCATGAAACCTAGAAGGAAGAGACCTTAGAATTTTCTTAACAACTCTATGTTCTGGGATGCTGTCACCAAGATTGTGACAACCATTGACAATTACACTAAGTTTAGCATAAAAGTCAGAAAAACTCTCATCATCTAGCATTTTGATATTTTCAAATTGTGTGATGAGATTTTGAAGCTTGGATTCTTTGACAGTGGAGTTACCTTCATGAGTAACTTCAAGAATATCCCAAGCTTCTTTCGCCGTTGAGCATTTACTGATGTAGTTAAATTGCTCAGGCGAAACGGCAGTGAACAACGCATTCAATGCTCTTTGATTGAATGTGCTAGAGTTGCGTTCATCTTCACTCCATACCTTTCTAGGCTTAAGCATAGAAATAGTGACAGAAGACTGTCCTTCGCCTTTGGTTTCTTCAACTGTTGGAGGTTCCCAGCCTTCTTCAACCGCAAGCCACACTCTATCGTCAAGTGCCCAGAGAAATGATTTCATCTTTGCCTTCCATGCAGCGTAGTTGTCGCCATCAAAATGTGGCGGATGAGAAACTGAACCCATAGACCGATTCATCCTAGACTACCCACGGATCTCACTAGATATTTTTAGTGACCTGCTCTGGTGCCAATTGAAAGTCCTAGGATGGGTACTAACTTAATCTATAAATGACAACTTAACGCTAAAGCAAATTATGATTTCGATTAATCAATTATGCAAAATTAATCCTACACAAATATTCAACATGAATATAAAAAGCACACACATGATGTAGGATTTAACGAGGCAAAACCCACCACTGGGAAAATCCTCGGGCAACCAAGCCAGGAAGCACTAAGAAAGAAAGAATACATAAAGACTTACAAAACTCATCAACTAGACACACATACCAGTTGGCAGCTTCGTCTTCGCGCTTTGCTACTCGATCTTTCTTCAGTCCTCGAGTTGAAGTGGCACGGTACTAACGCAACCGTCAATCACCTTTCCCTCGAACTTTGCACGAAGCTAACTCGATCATGCAGAATGTTTATATGATGAAGTGTTTGTTTGGAAAGCAATCAATTACGAAAATCACAAGGCTCATTTCCATAATTGATATTCAATTTAAAACCTCAAAGAAGACAGCATAAAAAATAATATCTTATTTTAAAAACCCATGCTGTTTGAACCGTAAGCTAACAGCAGTATTCAAAATGTTTTTCTGCGTACACAAAAACCAAGCTGATGCTTCTTCAAAAAAAAATCCTTTTCAATAAAATCAGTTTCTATGCATAAAATGATTCCCTTTGAAAACACATGCTCATCAAAAACCACAATGTGGCAGCAACTGACAAATAATGTTATATCCTTTTAAAATCACAAAGTTGCTGCCTGTATCTTTTCAAGAAAAGCCATCTTTCTATGCGGCATCAACTTTTCTTTTTAAATCAATTGACAACCATGCAATCCATATTGAACAATAACTCTACCAACACCCATTCACCTTTTGATAACACGGTTTGATAAGTCTCAATACCATCAGATTAGTCCTCATCCAATTAGACTATTTTGCATGCTTTAAAATCTCGAATATAAAGGAATAAAATATTTTAAAGAGATAAACCACACAATGGTTAAGAGTCCTATATCAAAAACAATAACATGAGATATAGATGAATGTAGTTGGATGTATGCATGCAAACGTACCTGAATATTTATCGCGTGTAGGTAACATCTTTGCATCGAAATTGTGAGAACCCTTCCTAGACCTAAACTATTACAATTGAAAATGTATAACAAGTCTAAATTATTACAGACTCAGGCATTATGTCAGGGATTGCCAATTTTACCCTAACACACTTGCACACCATCATATGCCTTGTACGAGAACCGAAGCTCCGCCAAATTAGGAAGGTTTTGAAGAGCTTTCAGTGGGAGGGGCACTGTCAACCTTGACCAAAAAATTCGTCGCTCGACAAGTTATTGAAGCTTTGAAATCCAACTTGGCAACTTCTCTAGAGACCCCTTCGAGTGGAGAAACCAAATAGATTCGGGTGGAATTGAAATGGATTGTTGTAGGTCAAGGACTTCATCTTCACTTATTGTGCTTAATTCTAGAGATTCAAGGTGGTTCACATTCAATCGAAGCACATATAGCATGTCCATATTCACGTTTCAAGTTTTTCAGGCCTAACTTTCGTAGGTGCCTTAGCTTTTCTAATGCTTTAGTTAGGTTGATTCCGCCGTGATTTGTTTCCGCATGGTATATAAATTTTGCAAAGTTTGTGAGCATCCAATACCATCATGTATTTTCACTCCTATCATGCTTAAAGTCTGAGCTGGAATTGATCTTGGTCGGTATTTCATACACCAGAGACGGTTTTGGATCTAGGATTCCTAAGTTTTGCAGATTGCATATGGACTCTGGAAGCAACTTCACCTTTGTATTCCTCAGGCTTAAGTACTTCAAGAGACATAAATTTCCCACGTATTCGGCTGGGTTGGATTAGTCGGTTCGTGAAAAAGGCAACAATGTTCGTACAAAGTGGGTAGTGTAGCACCCAGTCAAACAATGCCAAACACACTGATTGAATCAATGAGAATCTGTTACTAAAAATATCAATCGAGAAAGAATTTAAAGGGAGAGAGAAAGATGCTTGCAGCTGCCATCAATCCATCACGAATTTGTAGTGGAGCAGTTCCCACAAAAGATCATGAACTCTACAACTTCGAGCTTTTCCATCAATGTAAACTATTTTTCTCTTATTTCGAATGAAACTAAAATGTTCTTTTCACGGTCAAAAGCACATAACCTTGTTTTCGTAAAATGTATGCTACCTTTTTCGACACCTTGTGTAACCAGAGAGGTTGATGCTTGAGCTGTTCAGCAACCTGCTTCACAAATGTATAAAGAGCCCTTCAGAAATTCTTATGAAAATTTCATAAACTATTGAACTTCATTAATCACAACTGGGTGGATTAAATACGCTGTTCGACTTGAGTGTAAAAACCTCGTATCGATCATAATAAAGTATACAATTCAACAAAGATCAAACAGATCAGAGATGCAAAAACTATAAAATGAAAAATGCAAAAAGGCACAAGTCAGAGAAAACACCAAACAATTAGAGCCAAAAATACATTGATGACAACAGAAACATCATCCGAGACAAAAAAAATTAGCACCTCCTTGTAACCGGTTGGAGTGAACTTCTCGGCAGTTATTTTGCTTGGCCAGCTGACTTGCCGTGGGTTTCATTAACGCTGAACTCCTTGATAGAGGTGGTGACTTGCCTGGGGACTTTGGTTTAGCGCTTGCAGTGTCTTGAGCCATGTGATTAGGGAGTTCTAATCGTGTCGAAACACCATAAAACATGACAGTAAGAAACAACTTCATATGCTAATTCATGTTAAGCCGATTTAGAAAACAGAAAATATTATCGAGTCGAAATTTTAATAAGAAATGAGAGGAGGCAGAAGAAGTACACGGTGCACCTCTAATATTATCGTCTACTACTGCAGAGACCTCCGCTTCCATGCAATTATTTGAGTCAATACATCTGATAACTTCAACTTCTTAAACGTCTTTTGGTTCAGCGGAGTTTTTTACAAGTTCCGGATGATTCCTTTTTGCCAGTTCAACAATTTTTCAAGGAAAGCTAAGGGATTTAAAACAAGGGACAATTAACCGAAGAAAAAACAGAGTTAGCGGTTAATTTATCAAATTACAAGTAATTATAATTCTCTTAATCTCTAATTTGTTCACGTAAACAATGTAATACAGTTCAGATGCATGAATTAAACATACAGATGTTGAAATGAATTAGCAGAATCGATCATCAATTGATGTGGTAAGCATAGAAAATGATCAAAAAATTCGTTGTTGTGGCACATGACTAGGAGAACAGCAAACCAATGTTTCTGAAGAAACGACCGAGATTCAAACTTTCCCGGGAAATCAAAATGCCGAAACAGAGGGGGAGAGAGAGAGAGAGAGAGAGAGAGAGAGAGAGAGATTATATATAAATATATGTGTATACGTATATCATGCCCTTTAACAAGAGGGATTCCTATTTAAAAAAAAAATGGAAACACTTTCTTGACCGTTGGATTGACTTTAATAAAATTGTGTCAGAATAAATCACAGGCAACACAATCTTAATTGCACAATTTCATTAAAGCCAAATCTAACGGTCAAAGAGGGTGTCCCCATTTTTTTTAGAAAAATGGGGATCCCTCTCGTTAAAGGATTCCGATATGTATATATGTATGTAGAAGTTTTGATTAAGGTTAATGTGAAACCCTAATTGAAATTTCTGATATGTGAAGAAGAAATGGAAGATTGGATATTTGTTTTGGGCGATAATTTCAGATTGGTTTTAAGAGGGTAAACTCAGCAACAAAAGGAAAGATGACGAAGACAAAGGAGGAGGAGGAGGAGGACGACGACGACTTTTCTTAGCGCCCAAGGTTGAGAGAAATGTTCCTCCGATCCAAAATTTTTAAATTGTGGGCTCCACTCCACTACCACAAACACTTATTTTGTGGGCCCCCACTTAACATATTCGTTGCGTCTAACTAAATGGGAGTTTTAAGGGTATAGACTTATAATAAGCATCTAATAAACCTTTGGCAGTTGAATTTTGATACTACGAGCTAGTTAATTTTAGAATATCCAGACCAAATGACACAAGAATCTCACGTTTTTATAATTTTCAAGCCAAATAAGCCAATAAGCAATTTTGATTCTTTTTTTTTGAATTTTAATTCCATTTGTAAACAAGTATATCAAATTTGACAACCATAAAGAACTATTTTTCTCTGTTGCATGCGAGGATACATGTATAAATGCATATTATGTTTTTCAAATATATCATATCATGACAAATTTAACTATATTAAAGATATGTGGTTGAATTAATCTATATGCAAAATGAGAAGGCTCAACACTTCAAATTTCTAAAATTCACAATCTACCCTTTGGTTAACAAAATTTCTAAAATCCACAATCCTACAAATTAATGTCAAGAAAATAAAATAGTAAAGAATTGGTAAATATAAAAAAAATTGGATATTTAGGTTAAGTTGAACGAAAATATATGATTTAATTTACTAAATCATGTTCTTCAATCTTATTACTTTTCTCAATTAATTGAATTGTTGATCAAGTGACAAAACCCAAAAAAAATTGAAGGGTTTTTATTCATTTTTACAGCAAAGATATGAGGTACATAATTGTTACTTATCTCCTGTAAAAACTTGATGCATTCATAAAAAAAAAAATGAATGAAATTTTATCATGTCATTTGAGCATTCCAAATCTGAGGTGATGATAGCCTTTTATTTTAATTTTTAATAAAAAATAATTTATTATAATCACCAATAAAATTACAAGAAAAATGCTAAGAAGACCACACCACACCTTAACAAGGATAGCAGAGCAAACAATTTAGACACTCCCATATTTTTGATCAGTTGGAATCAGGCATTCAACCAAGACGAAAAGTCGAGATCATAAAGGGAGTGGGCTTTATATTGGCCAATTCTCGGGCCAGGCTCGCAAGCAACACGAACTTGTCGTATATGTTTAACAGTCCAATAATGTGGGCCATTATTTGGATCCATTTGTCGTGCAAACTCCTTCGTCATGCCATAAAACGTAAGATCTCTCAGTTGTCGGAGATGGTGGATGCCAGATGGCACCTCCTTCAGTTGTGGGCAACGTCCAATGTAAAACACTTGGAGACAAGGCATAACCCCATTGTCTATGATCAACGAATTTAGTACCTCCATTTCCCCGAGTACGAGCTCCTTAAGTCTCTGAAATCCTCCTCCCTCAAAATGCAGCTGCACGCCATCATATCCCATTTTTCCCACACGGAGCTCCGACAGATTGGGTAGATTTTGAAGGGCTTGCAATGGAGAATCTCTCAACCTTGACCACTGAATCCCCAATTTGACGAGGTGTTGAAGATTTGAAATCCAACTTGGCAACTGCTCTAAACGCCCCTTCAAGTACAGAGACCGAATAAATTGTGGTGGAGTTGAAATGGATTCTAGATCAAGGACTTCATCTTCACTTATTGCACTTAAATCTAGAGTTTCAAGGAGTTCCATCTTTTCAATAGAAGCACACAGAGCCCTTCCATCTTCACGTTTCAATTTTTTTAGGCCCAACTTCCGCAGCTGCCTTAAGTTTCCCAGTTCTTTGATTAGCTTGATCCCTCCATGATTCGCCTCCACATGGTACAGTTTTTGCAAAGCTTGTAAGCATCCAATACCTTCATGCATCTTCACTCCTCTTTCCCTATTTACGCAAAATTCAATGTTGTTGTCGCGATAGTAGGCCAAAAGATACCGCAACTTAACAAGCTTCTTGATCTTGGTCGGTATTTCGTACACCAAAGACTGTTTTAGATCCAGTGTTTCTAAGTTTTGCAGATTGCCTATGGAGTTTGGAAGCAACTCCACCTTTGTATTCCTCAGGCTTAAGTATGTCAAGAGATACAAATCCCCCACATATTTCGGAAGTTGATTGATTGGAGCATCCATGAAATCCAATACTTTCAGGAGTTTAAAGTTTCCCCGCAATGTATTGAGAAAAGACTCGGGCCATTCTTCTTGGTTGAAAGCAAATACAGAGCGAATTTGAGACTCTCTAATGCTTCCCAGGGCATCAGAGGGACTGCTGTCGATTGAGAGACGTCGAGTTCGAGTTGTTGGTTTAGAGGTCAACTCAAATTCTGATAAAAAATGACAGAAGCTTGAATCCACACCCTTTTTAAGGAGCACTTCGCGCCAAAGATCATGAACTCTACAACTTCGAGCTTTTTTATCAATGTAAGCTTCGGACACTTGAACCAGGCTTCTGTGATTTAGCTCAGTCAAGTATTCCTTTCCAACCTCTTCCAGTGTCTTGCCCTTCTTAAATTCTACAAACCCTTCAGCGATCCACAACCGTATCAATCTTACGCAATTAATTGAGTAGTCCTCTGGAAAGATGCCAAAGTATAAGACACACGATTTGAGGTGATATGGTAGATGGTAATAGCTGAGGGATAAGATTCTTGTGAGGCTTGTAAGATGGGGATTGCTTTCCAACTCTGAACTTAAGCTATTGGATAACTTCCGCCATTCATCCACCACTTTATCTTTCCTTGACAGCAGACCACCTATGCAAACAATTGCCAAAGGTAGTCCCTCGCACTTTTTAACGATTTCCCGTGACATATCTTCTAACTCTGGAGGGCACTTTCCCTCCAATTCAAACTGAAATGCCTTTCTACAAAACAATTCCCATGCCTTCTCCGGAGGCAGAGGTTGCAAGTGATGGACATGAACAAAACAAGATTTTTTGCAAAAATCGGCAACATCTTGATTCCTTGTAGTAATCATTATTCGTCCGCCTTTATTACCTGGTAAGGCATGTTCTATAGCCCCCCAAAAATCTTCTCTCCACACATCATCAAACACAACAACATACCTCTTTTGCTGCAAATACTCTCCTAATTTTCTGATCAGGGACTCCTCATCCATTGTGTCAATTCCTTCTGGGAAAGGATCCTTCCTTGAACTGCAGAACTTTTTGACTACCGTCCTCAGAAGATCCTCCTCCTTGTACGACTGGGACACCGAAAACCAAGCGTAGCAATCAAAGTGGTCCATCACCGTCTGACTGTCGTAAACTTTCTTGGCTAGAGTGGTCTTCCCAAGTCCTCCCATGCCAACCACAGATATCACTTCGCGTCTCGGCTCTCCTCCTACCAACAAATCAGTTAGCTCTTTTCTGGCAGAGTCAATCCCCACCACTTCATCCTCCCCAATGACAAGGGAAGCCACTCGAGGGTCATGCCGTAGAAGAGTCCTTTCGCCATTATCTCCACCTTGCTGGTCAATGGGACTGAGTACGTATCTTTTTCTTCTTTCCAGAATATCACGAACCAATTCCTTCATACGGTCAACTTTCGAAACTATCCCATCCTGTGATCTCATTCTTTTAGCCAACCGGATAATTTTATGGAAAAAACGAATGAACCCAGGATCTTGATGACGCCGTGTGATGCGGAGCAAATATTCATCAATGACATCTTCAATGTAAAAAGCTGCGTCTCTTACTTGGTTGACCCAAGTTTTGACACTGTCATTCGTCGTCTCTCCATCTGCAGCCGCCTTAGCATCTGCGTCCCTGAGGAATGATCGGATGCTCTGTAGCTCGTCTCTGATGAAACTAACTCCTTCGCGTGCGTCTCTTGAAAGGTTTTCCCCTGTGGTGATGAGTAGTTGAATTAACTTGTCGATCACTAAGCGTACAATTTGTTCTGCCATAGAATACGAGCATCCAACAACCCCAAACTATATGCTATCTGTTTGGTTTGGGTGAGCAAACAGTTGCTCGGAAAAAAAAAAAACAATTGGGAATCAAAGGTAGAGAAAGGAAATCTGAAAACTGAAGCAAGAATCAGGAGCAATTTGAATGCTGTGAAGCAGATGTCTTTGGTATCAAGAAAATCAGAAGCAATGAAGCAGATTGAGAAAATTGATGGATTGAAATGTTCAGACACCTTCCTTATAACCTTTAGACTGGGGCTTCTGCACATCATGATTAAAGGGCTAGAACGCCAATAACCATTTTACAGCTAGCAACTTATTTGGTGCTTTCATGTGGTTTTGAAGAAATTTTTCGCAACACATGAGTGATACACCATGTGTTTTTATAAAAGTGGGGAGAAATTTTATTTTTTAAATTATTAATTTTTTAACACACTTAACATATTCTTTGTATAGTAACATATGGTATACCGTTCCGTGTACCGATCACATTAAAAAATCTCTCATAGCCTTTTATTTTTTTTAGGCTTTTTAGCCAAAATGGTCTCTGAGATTTCAAATCAATAGAAGTGGTCCCTGATATTGTCCATCATCCATCATTTTGATCATTCCGTTAAAAACTCTGTTAAGTGTCCCGGAACTCTTGGCTAGAAGTTTAAGCAATTTTCAAAGCTTCG